AAGCCTGATATTTTCAGTCAAAATGCTCAAAAAACTCTGGCAGTATGGGACTCTCTGTTCTGAAAAAGCCTGATATTATTTGTCTGACTCCAACCATCAATACAACAAACTTTACTTGCTCACTCTGCCTTTGTACATGTAGAAAATACATCAAGACGCTGAACCAATGTCCCCATCACTCCTTTTACGATTACAACAAAGCTAGTTTAATAATAAAAACATAAAAGACGTCTATAGACGTCTTTGGCAGCCAATGAGTTAAAGGTGGGCTGGCATGGACGCCTACGTGCACGCTCACGTGCGCGTGCACGTGAGCGTGAGCGTGCACGTGAGGGGCTTCAAGGACGCCGTTCTCCCGTTTGCTCTTGGCCGGCGTCCTTTCCCCGTTAATCACCGGCTCTGTTTAATTTATGGATCCCTTACAACAATGCGGTTAACATAAGCTGCTCAGTGAAAACACGCTCTACTGGCCTCCGTCCGTCCATCACTCCTGATGTGATCAGAGCCAGGGGGAGGGGGGGGGGGAGGGAGGGAGGGAGGAGGGGGGAGGGAGGTAACTGACACAGAAAAGGGAAGGATAATTTGTTTAATTCATGAGCGTTTCTGGTAAAATGCCAGATTGTCCCACTGAGGACAACCACTAATGATTCCCTCCCTTCTTTTCCTCCCCCCTCCTCCCCCCCTCCTCCCCTCTCCTTATTTTGTCTCATAACTCTGGTTTTACTCACTTCCTGTCTCCCTTTCTCCCCCCCGTCCCCCTCCATCTTCCCCTCTACCCTCAATTCATTTCTTTCTCTTGCCTCATTTGCCGTTCTCTCCAATTCAATATTTCCATCCTCTGCTCTCAAACGCGCACACCTGTGTGTCCCTCTCCTCCTCCCCCCTTCCTCCCACCTGTCTTCCCCCTTCTTCCCCACTTCCTCCCGCTTGACTCCCACCTGTCTCCCCCCATCCTCCTGCTTCTCTCCCCTCTTCCTCCGACCTGCCTCCCCCTTACTCCCCCCCCGTCTACCCTCATCCTTCCACCTCTTTCCCCCCTTTCTCCCGCCTGTCTCCCCCCTTCCTCCC